CCAGATGCGGGGCTCGATCCCAGGATACTGGGATCATGACCTGAGCCGAAGGCAGACGCTTAACGACTGAGCCACCCAGGCGCCCCAATTGCTTTCTTCTTTTTGAGAGGTGTGAAATTGATTGCGGTATCTCATATGGCACCATAAGACCAAAACAATGGATGTCTTTAAGGACAGTAGATCTAGTCAAGTGCTAAGAAAGAAATCCGATGGTGTATGGCAGGCCTTTTCTTTTTTAAACATTGAGTTAGTGTATTAGAGGTCTGTAGATGTAACAGCTCAGATAGTAAAAGTCTCATGATGAGGCTGTTTGTGTGGATATCAGTCAAACTAACTTCAGAATCAGTATTCTAAAGGGGGATCCATTATAATTTAGTCATATTTACTTCATTCATTTATTCAGCTAATACTTATTGTGCATTTACAATGTGCCAGATATGAGGAGGGCACTGGGTGGAAAGCAGATCCAGACTTGATCCTTGCCCTCAGTGTACCGATAAGAGATCTGCTTATTCAAAAGTTACTGACAGGTGCACAGTATTCCAATTCTTTCAGTGTTCTTGATCCTGTGAAATACAGAGTAGCTCTTCATTGATTAGCATTAGTGATTTTATAGAATATTCCACACCACCACAACACTAGATTTTACTGTACTGTTTATTATAGAGACTTACTGATAAAAATTATGCCTCAAAGTTACTTTGTAATTGTTAAATCTTGTGACCTGCTGTTATTTATGTGAATATTTAATAGTGTCCTGTCAGTAATCTCTTCAGCTCTGTGTTTCACTTAATAAAAATCTTAACATGAAGGAAAAGGCTCCCTCCCACTTCGATGTTGACAGCAGTTGTGAGCAGGTGTTGTGACTCCTAGTCTGGAGTTGAGGAAATGGAGGCCCCAGAAGCTCAGTAATTTGCCCAAACTCACGGTCACAGGTCGGGTTTCTCAGGAAGCAGACTTTGAGATGGAGCATAGCGTGTAGGGGACAGAGACTTGGATTTTCTACCCCGTGTCGATCGGTCCTTGGTATAGTCTGCCTCTGGAAGGATGTGGCCTGGGCGAGGCACGTTTCTTTGGCTGAGGTCGCGCCCCGGAGGAGGACTGACTGCTGAGGGGGTTCTGGGAGGCACATCGTGGTTCCCACCAGCGGCCACTAGGCTCCCGACGTGCCTGCCCCACCACCTTCCCCTACACCAAGAGGGGCGGACGGAGACCCTCGCTTGTTGAGGGGTTGGAGGTCAGCAGCCATAAGAGAATATGCTAAAGCAATGCAAATGCTTTTGAGAGAAACCTTCTAAGTTTGGGCATCACCGTGTTCTGCAGAAGTCTCCCACAATCTGGGGCTTCTTCAAAAACAACGGAAGACTATGACCGCTTACTTCATAGCTGTGCTTTTTCCTTGCAGACTTGTCAGGCCACAGGGGTTTTAGTAAAGAACATGGTGACATTGTTCCTTGTGTTTCCTAAAATCTTCAGTGTGGTTCTCGTGCGTCCTGAGGATGCTCCTTGCTTCTGCGTCACTCAGAGTGAGGCCCGAGGTCCTATTTACTGCTCATGCTGGCGCTTTCGCTTTCTTCCCCCGTCCCTGCTTCCCTGTGCCCTTCCTTGCTCCCTGTCACATGGCCCCCCTTCTCCCCGTCTCCCGGGCTGAGTATTTTTAAGAAACCTATTGCATGAGCTTCTCAAAAATGCTAACTGGCATCACATATCCAGACCCGGCGAAATGAAATGCAAATTCTTCTCTTAACCAGTGTTGCAGTAATGATGGAGGATTGGAGAGGACAATCCTTAAGGCCATTTTTCCATCACTGCGTGAAGAGTAACAGCGCTTCCTGCCGTGGAGCTTTCCCCGGTGCTCTCTCGCTCAGTGGGTGGATGAGGCCAGAGTCACCGGCAGGGGGGATCCCAGAGACTGGTGTGAAGGAGGTGCCTTTCCACCTCACTCTCACCCCGCAGTATTTGTGGAGTATACGAGGTGGAGAATATGGGAACACTGAGAACCAGTAGTTCCCCGAGGAGCTGATGCTTTGGGTCCACCCCCACCCCCCCAGTACTCCCTCCTGTCTGCCTGTCTTACAGTGGTGTGTGCACGCGCACACACACACACACACACACACACACGTCGCCCTTGCCCAACAGCAGGAGCCCTCTGGTGCTCACCTGTGTGTTCCGCCCCGGGCCCGGTTGAGGTCTGTGATCCCTTCAGCGTGATTGATGGATGTGTGTGCCTGGGTCAAATTGTTGCGTGAAGCCTGCTGAAGGGTGTTAGACTTTACAGGACTGACTTGAGCAGGTGGAACCGATTCATTGTCTTAGAGATGCGAGCCACATGATTAGTCCAGTCTCCTCAGCATGCAGACCAGAACATGCCTCTTCACGGTGGTGATGTGCTTTGCCCCGAGACCAGCCTGTCATAGCTGGACAGACAGGCAGAATCCTGGGCTCGGACTCCGGACTTGGGCCTTATCTCCCATGCTCTTGTCTTCCTACCTCCTGCTGTAGATGCTGGGGAAAAACAAAACAAAAACACCCTCTCCGTAGACCGTAATTTCTGGTCCTGGGTACAGCGGAGCCTGACTCCCTCATAACCTATTCCGTAGGGAAAACCAGTGTGACTTTGCTACTCTAATAACAATTGCCTCATAATTTTCTAAACGATATTAAAGGTGTTCTCAGGCAGATGCAGGTGGGAATTGATCTGTGATGAACACCGTTTAATTTCAGTGTGCAGTTAGGGGTACTGTTGGTTTATTTGCGTAGGAATAGCGATCCCGGCGTTCGGAATGGGCCTGCTCTGAGTCAGACAGAAGAATGTTACAGCGTCAGTTCTCACTGTGTCTGGGAGGAAGAAATGCAGTTGGCATTCTAAAACCTGACATGGTGCTTGGTGCTTGACCTTTTCTGGGCTTTATTCAGCGTGTGAACGTATTTCGGTGCAGCCTGTGGAATCTGTGTCTGATGTGTGTGTTTTCTCCCCCCAGAGCGCTGTTGCTGGGCCTGGCTTGCAATCATAACTTGAAGGGGGTTTCTCTTGATCTCAGCAATTGTGAGGTAAGAACACGTTCAGACTACGGGATGGAAGAGATTATGATAGCCTCAAAATTGCTTTGCCTCTTTCCTGGAAAAAGTGTGATGCTGTGAATCCAGAGGGTATGAATGAAGCAGAAAAACACACATTTTATAGAAGTTTCTGATGTTCTGTATTTTGCAAGTTTTATCTACAAACAGCCACAGAACGCCGTTCAGAAAGCATTCAAGTGTGTTTTTAATGACTTGGGGTTTGTTTGTTTTTTATTCATTCTTCGTGCCAGTTGCTTAAGTATTTTATGATGAAACCTTGAGATACAAAAGCCATAGACTAGCTTTACCGTTACGAAAAATGCAATGTTCTGTGTCCCTTGCAGGGGACAGATGCGTGTAACCTGACTTGGATTCAGAGTGTGTGCAAGAGAATTACTGTCTTGTCATTCGCCTTATTTTTTAATGTCTCGATTTAAAACAGGAAAATTAAGATGCTTCTCAAAATTACAGCAATTCCAGACCCTTCCTATCAAAGAACACCAAGATGATTTGAGACTAAGAGCCTCTGCATTTTAGAGGGTACCTGAACTTTTAGTCTTGAGACTTTCAGTTTGTGTGGAGACCAGTAAGAAAAGACCCAGGTACAAGCCACAGGGCCCCTTCAGAGCCTGACTTTACTCAGCACGTCGTACGTGGTTCCTTCTTCCTGGGGCTGGAGGTGATGTCCCTTCATTCCTGCTCCTGGGCCTTTCTGCCCACTGTTCTCTCCTCCTGCCACATACTTGCCATGTCCCTCTTCCCCAAGGCTTCCCTCTCCGAGGATCTAGCTCAAGTCCAGTCTCCTCCATGCCTGCATCAGACTGCTAGGGTTCGATCCGAGTTTGGTCTTTACTAGCTATGTGGTCCCGCATGAATTAGACAAGACTGCAAAACCTCAATGTCTGCATCTGCAAAATGGAGCAATGTTAGTGCCCCTCCCAGTGGCTCCTTACAGGGTTTTAGAGGAGTTCTTCTTTGCAAAGTGCTTCCTGGGGCATCTGGGGCATGTGAGGGTTCTTTGCTTTTGTTGCTTATCTGTCTGTAGAATTTCCCCCCTGACTGCTTCAGCCCTTGGCGATCTTGTTCTTTTCTGATTGTCTGGTACTTAATGATGGTGACGTGCATTTGGACAGTGACCCATGGGGTGTCCTGCGCAACTGTTTGATTAGCTCCTATGTGCTCTCCCTGCTAGGCTGTAACTTTCCGGAAGATACTATTTGTGTCTTACTCATTTTGTGTTTCCCTTAGCTCCTAACAGAATGCCAGGTACCAAGCATAACACTAAATATTGAAGATTGATGCTTTACCTCTCTGAAAATTCTAGAAACTGACAAGTTTGAAATCATACCATGTAAATTGTTAGTGCAGGAATTTTTTTTTTTTTTTTTTTAATTTTGAGCTGGGGTTAATACCAACTGTGTGTGATTTACCTAGTCATTTTGTTTGGAAAAAAGAAAAGCCAAAAGGAACAACAACAACAAAAAAACCCCACAAAACCCCTAAAAAAGGGCACTGTCAAATTTTCATGTGTAAATCACTGTTCTTTTTTTTTTTTTTTTAAATAAGATTTATTTATTTATTTTAGAGAGAGCACAACTGGAGGGGCAGAGAGAGGGGGAAAGAGAATCTCAAGCAGACTCTGTGCTGAGCACAGAGCCCAACGTGGGACTTGATCTCACAACCCTGAGATCATGACCTGAGCCAAAAATCAAGAATTGGACGCTTAACTGACTGAGCCGCCCAGGCGCCCCCAGTGTTCTTTTATTTATAAAGACAGATCATATAATAGAAACCGAGTCTGGAAATATGAATTAATTGCTTACTAATACTTTCTTACGGGACCTGGCAGTAGTAAAAACTTTTGTATGGGGGGAGCAGTAAGAAGAATGGGGATAGGAAGGGTTATTCTATCAAAAAAAGCAAATTGGTATAAACTTGATTGTTCTACTATCTGACACTACTGAATGACCCAGATGTTTCACTTTCCTCATTAAATATAGTGACTGCTCTCAGTACAACATCTTCTGTTTAATTCTGTGATCCAAATGGGAAGGGACGTAAGTGATCATCTGGTTCCCATACTTACAGATGAAGAAAGCGAGTTCTAAAGAAGCTGAAATAATCCGGCTTACTAATGGCAGAGTCATGATGAAAGTATGCTTTCCTGATTGTTGTTAATTATATAGGTAATTATTAGAACATCAAGTATGATTAGATATTTTCTTCTCAAATAAGTTGTCAGGTGCCATATATGCCCAAAGAAGACTGTTATATCACTGTGTAGCTTGTTCTTTAAACTCCTTTGTGATCCAACTGGGAATAACTTTCAAAGACAGTTCTATTTGGCGAACTGATAAAATTGACATTTTTGTAGGTCAGAAATGGCAGGCTGTTGGCAATTTCATATGGTTCCCCCCAATAGCTACTAGACTTTCCCTTTATAATTTTTTTCTTACTAAGGCAGGAATCCAGATGAAATGATTGCTCTCTGATGGTAGGGTTGGCCATTACGATGGTGATAATTACAACTTCCTTTTGGCCATTCGTTTATGGATTCTGTGATGCAGCGGTAGTGCTGAGAGATGGGGACCCTCCAGACTACCTTGGTGCCATGTTCTTCCACCATCTTTTTTTTTTTTTTAAAGATTTTATTTATTTATTTGAGAGAGAGAGAGCACATGAGAGGGGGGAGGGTCAGAGGGAGAAGCAAGCTCCTTGCTGAGCAGGGAGCCCGATGCGGGACTCGATCCCGGGACTCCAGGATCATGACCTGAGCCGAAGGCAGTCGCTTAACCGACTGAGCCACCCAGGCGCCCTCTCCCACCATCTTAATGCTTGAATCACAGTCCCAGGGGCCACATTTATAAAGTCACCTTATGTTGCTGCTTGTGGAAATTGGTGAAACACCAAATTATTTTTCTAAATTAAGGCGTCTTATCATATTTTTCTTCTTATAGATGGGTGTCCAAATCTAACTAGGTTTCACTTTGCTCCTCTCCACGAGAGAGTAAATCTCTCCGGTAAAGGTGTAAGGGGTTATGATATTATCTTTGTAGAATGCTTGGCCATTTGAGTATTAACTGCTAACCCTTTTAATGATTTGACACTTCAGAGTTTAGGTAGTGCTCTCAGAAAAAATCTTTCGCCGACTTGGAAGTTTAAAATTATGCATGTGTCTGTTTTTTTCTGTTCATTCTGTCTTTAGCCCTCGTAGACACAATCCCCTCTACTGTGTGTGTGAAATACCGTGAAGTCTTTGTATATTTATAAGTAAATAGTTCCTTTTATTTACAAAATAGCTACTTGCCACTGGTTAATTTTAAAATCAGGTTTTATGGGTGTTACAGAAGATAAAAGGCCATCATCTAAGATGGTTGAGTTTATCGGGAGGAGAGAGGAAAGTAACAGTATTTGGAACCGTGCTGAGCCCGGCACATGTGGGCCATAATTGGGAGGGAAGAGGATTACTACAGCGAAGCCTTATTTTGAATGTCAGAATTCACAGCATGGGTCAGTACGGCCTTTCTGAAAAATTTTTATTTAGAAGCCATATAAATATTCTGCCTTTTCTGAAACATTTTTTGGGAATTGCCTTCAAAGCTATTTTAAATCTTTCAAGAACAATTAGTCTCATCCATTTATAGTCATACGTGATTTCCAACACAAAACCATATCACCCTCTATGGCCCAACTTGTCTGTGAATGGCCTGTGGCTGATCCTAATTCACTCTCAAAGGGTAAGGATTCAGCATCCGTGTGGATGTTCAAAGAAATGCGTTCCATTGCCCTCAAGGTTAGTTTCAAAAGAAGCATTTCCGAACTGTTTTATATGGTAGTAATGAAATTGGCACGCGGATGTATTCTCCCCACATACCTGTCTACCTGAAGGGAGGCCGTGAGTCTGTCATTTTGGCCTGTGTTGATAAATCTTTTTCACAGTCCTACTTCAGGAGAGTAGGTAAGTGCTGCAACTGAATTCTTCCACGTCACTCTCCTTCCAAGTGAGAGAGCAAAATCCCCGAGGCTTCAACAGAGACTCAAAGGCTAATTACAGCCAAGAATTAGGTGTAGGTCTGGGTGTAGAGTTAATTCTTTTAAGGAGAAACTTCCCGTTCCACAGTTGCACAAACTGATTCCACAGTTCATGGCAAGATGCTTTGATGATGCGTAGAAGGAGGAGCCCCGGATACTAAAATTTGTAATGAGTAGGACATTGCTGCAAGCGAATAGGAACTTCTGAGGCAATTCCGTCCGACTTGACAGTGGTTCACCCAGCTTTGAGGCGCGAAGGCAGGTGTGCTGTGTGTGTGGGGGGGGGTTCCTAACTATAGTACCCCCTGCGGATCAGTTTCCCGTTGGGCCCCCTGATCCTGACCTGAGCTGAAATCAAGAGTCGGATGCTCAACTGACTGAGCCCCCAGGTGTGCCCCAAAGGAAAATGAATTTTCCAAATAAAAGTTCTGTCTAGATTTTAGTTTTCCTTGTTTCTCTTGTCCCCATTATGGCTATTTGAGTATTAGAGGCAACTATTCACTTAGAACTATGAGTAACATCTGAAATGTTCCACCGTTCTCGAGTGAGAGGACACTTCTCTGTGGAAAGAAATGTGAGTTTATTTTTTAACTTTTCAAAAAGTATTCAGTGATTCAGTCACATTGACTCCTCTTTGATCTTGCTTTCTTTTAAATAATGTTAGTGTGTGGGATCCAAATGAGGGTAATTTAAAAACCAGTTTTACACGCACACATGTGGACACAGCCTCTAATTATGCAAATTCATTTAAAAGGATTTTCATTTACAGTAATGGAAAAGCTTTTATTGTTTTGGGAAAGCTTTAGCTTTGGGGGAGTTTTAGGCATTTAATAACTTGTGAATTCAATTGAATGTTCTTGGTAACTGAGGATCAGTTATCTTCTTAGTTAAATTTTTGATTTTGGTTTTGGGAGCAGATTTTAGTTGGAAGTGTTTTTCTGACTCTTGCTTTTTTACATGGTATATTGATAAAGGCTTCAGCTTCTCTGTTCTGTTTACTGCTGATAACGTGTTTTCATTTTTTTCTCCTTGGGCTTTCCTTAGCTTGGCCACTGTGTAAGTACTTTATGAATCAAAATAGGGTCTGTGGATATATTTGATTGTTTTTTAGCTATTGGAAAATGTTAGTTTTATGGGTATATGCTACAAATATTAGCAGTCAAGAGTATTTGTAAAATAAACAGAATTGAGCACTTAAATGTCACCTATATTTTCCATATCTGTAAATGGAATATTTTTACTGTACTTGATAATAATAACAAGTAGAGATTTTCTTGTAGAAATTTTACTTCTCAACAGAGACATCACTAACAGCAAATAATCAAATTGTGGAGACTTAGGCACTTACGTTTATCTTCTCAGAAGTGTCATTTTTTTCATGCTCTGAATATCAAATTATGTTTCTTTGAAGTGTTTGCCTGAAGTATTTTTTGCTTTAACTTTGAAGTAGTCTGAATATACATTCACTTCTTCAAGTATTAACAAGCTGTGATCTGAAGTCGTGCTTCTTAAAACTATTTGTGGTGAAAACCTGGTTGTTATTTTTTTTTTTACTTCCATTTCATCATAAACCAATACTTTTGCAAAAATATATAAAAAAGGATTTAAAAAGACATAAACAATATAAGCCCTCATTTTTTGTTATTAGATGCAACAGACCTAAACTTATTATTACTAAGGTTTCTAAAATATTTATAGTCAATTTCTGTACTTATTTTACCTAAGATCAGTAGCGAACTTTGCAGACTGCCACCTGTCTGTGGACCACACTTTGAGTAGCATCTGCCGGGGCGAGTCTAGAGATGATGTGATAAAGCTGGGCTTGGGGCATGTGGGTAAGCTCGAGAGCACCTGGGAATACAACCACATGTAGTAAAATACCTGCTGATTCTTGGCAGTTGCTCCACACATTGGGTTATAAGCCCCTCAGCTGTGGGGTTAATTGGTCTTGGTTTCCCTGGAGTATGTAGACCAGCCTCCTGGGCAGGTGTGTCTCTGTGTGACACTCCCCTTTAGAGTTCACTTCGGGTCCCCCAGAGTAATCTGCTGGCACCATAGAAAGTAGGGAAGGCTGAATTTAAATACCTCAACTGAAATACTCCTGAATAAAGAGCAATCCCAAAACTGCTTAACACCCAAGGAGCCAGGGAAATTGGCAGGTTTTGGTTCTGGGTACCATAAAAATATTGCATCTAAAATAGTGAACTAAGGATTCTTTAAATTCTTACATCAGAACTTGCACAAGTTCTAGGGAGTAGCATTTTGCATTTTACACTTGGTATAGAAATTTAGATACATTTTAATTTTCTTATATCAATAGAGAAGTACTATGTTCCCTTGGTACATAATAGGTTCCCAATAAATGATAGTTTCTTTCCCTTATTAAATAGTAAGTTAGCTGATCAAAGGGGCCATAGCTCAGGAAATTTGCATCCTTTACAATCCTTTACATATGGTAGGAACTCAAATAGTTGCTGAGTGGAGAATAAAAAGATACTCTGACCTCTGTAGATAATGCTTTTGGTTTTATGGGAAAAGATGCAAAGTATTGAGTTTTATAGGTTGCCTGTCTCTTTAAGTAAATGAGGTCATGGAATGAGAATTAGTTTTGCTACAAGGCAACCATAATAATATTTTAAATTGACCTAACATCTTTTTCTTCTGTGGCTCGATGAGTTTATACAAATCATTTAATAATCACCTTTCGCTGTTTACTTTGTAATCGTGAGACTGCACACTGTTTCGGTGGGAAGGTGGGCTGGGTCCTTCACGACGTGGATGACAGTCAACAACACTTCATCTTCATTGTCTCCTTTGATTGTTTTGCTGCTACTTGGTGGAGTTCTACCCTGAAATCTGGAATAATCAAACAAAATCCATACTGGTTTCCCATGTATAAAAGGGAATTGCTAGGTTTCCAAAAGTCAGAAATGAAGACAGTTCTTGTGGGCTGAGAGAAGCTGCATTCCCCATGCTGACAGAGAGTATGGTCTCCATCTTCTGTTTCTTTTTCTAGCAATTTCCAGAGTTCGGTGCTATGGGAAATAGTAGCAATGACTAGTGATTGGCTCTTTACCATTGATGGTAGCTATGGAGTTGATAAGCGTTCACTCGTTCTTTGGCACCAAGTCGGAGACTGTATCTCCTGCTTTTAGTATTTTTTGGTTCCACGTCCAGTAGGTGACCGCTTCACCTTGTGTGTGGTTTGTGTTTCTCCAGCTGAGATCAGGAGGCGCACAAGTATTAGAAGGCTGCATCGCCGAAATCCACAACATCACCAGCTTAGATATCTCCGATAATGGTAAGTCAGAAACCAGAAAAGAAACAGAAATATTATTTGAAGCAAGTTAGTAAGGGGAAAATAGAAAGCTCAACCTAGACAACACCTTAATGAACGTGTTATCTCACTTCTTGACCAATAGGGCTGTTAAGTTTTAACAGAATTTATTTATGGAATAAGTCAATACCAAAAGTCTTACTAAGTTGATACCATGGCCAAAAATGCAAGAAAAGAAGTCAGTTAAAAAAAAAAATCCTCATCAGAACATCGATAACGATCTTGATTTGACCTTTTGCATTCTTGGTGATAATAAAATAAAATCCTTGTGTATTTACTCAGAAACTTGTTTCATTAGCTTCATTTCTGCCAATTACAGTAGCATGTGAGTAGGAGCCTGTTTAGTTTGCATTGGCAACTGCAGTTACCTACCAGCAAACGGGATGTTAGGATCTTCTCTTATACAATTGTGGGCAGAGATGAGACTCATCCTCTCCCCGTTCCTTGCTGACAGAATGAGTTTATCCCTGTGAAATAATAGGACATGAAAAGAGAGCAAAAAATTCCTTTGAAAATGAAAGATTAGAATCCCAGGGCCCTCGGGACGGTAGAGAAAGTCATCCAAGTTCATGTCACCTTTGCTTAATTGTGTTCCAGCTGAGAATTTATTTATACATGTGTGTTTTGATTATCTGCTTACTCTGATTCTTTCCAGGTTTAGAATCTGACCTATCCACCTTAATAGTGTGGCTCAGTAAAAACAGATCAATACAACACCTGGCATTAGGCAAAAATTTTAATAATATGAAATCCAAGTAAGAGCTTTAAATTTTTTTTATATGACAATGATGAAAATAAGCAACCTCGTGAAAGCTTTTGATTTGATTCCACTGTCCACATCTTTAAAATCTCTTTAGAAATCTGACACCTGTGTTGGACAACTTAGTGCAGATGATTCAAGATGAAGAATCGGTGAGTATTGTTTCTACCAAGTTAATGTTGCTACACTTTCAGATAATTTTATCTATATACACCATTTCTATTGTTTTTTTAATGAACTAGATATTTATGCTTTAGTACAGTTAAATGTATTTAAAATTGCTTACTCTTCATTTCAACTCATTACTAATTAAAGGAAGACTGTAACTAAAAGATTAAAAGAAGTATAAATTGACTTATAAGCCCATCTTTTAATAAGACTTACTACTTCCTAACTTCAGCAGATGCACTAATCTGCAAGCATGAATTTTTTTCAATCTAGTTGACTTTCTGACCTTACATCATGCTGGGCAACATCATATTGCTAATTTGAATTTCATCTAGTAATTATGCAGAATTACAAAAGCCTAAGAAGGTTGGTCGCCCATCTTAAATTGCTTCTAGAGCTCTAGTGTCCTTCTTCTAGTTTTATTCCCTTCAGTTGCTCCTGGCCAAGACTTGGTTCTGGGTAAAGAAATTTAATTTTAAATAGTATCCTATTTTGCTGCCCTTTAAGGTGCATTAGAAAAAGAAAAAAGATACATATTTTTGAGATTTATTTTAGAGAAAGAGAGAGCATGAAGAGGAGGGGCAGAGGGAGAAGGAGAGAGAATTTCAAGCAGACTCTGCACACAACGAGAAGCTGGATTCGGGGCTGGATCTCATGACCCTGAGATCATGACCTAAGCCAAAACCAAGAGTCGGATGCTTAACTGACTCTGCCACCCAGGCGCCCTAAGAAAAAGATACTTTATGGACAAAGCAAGAAGCACTCTGCTGTCAATTCCTTTAACTTAAACCCAGTGTATCTTACATTTTGTACCTTACATTTTACTGATGCTCTTTAAGAGTTTGTCCATTACTTATTTTAGTCCTGTTTGGCCACCAACCAGCTTTTACGGTTCCTAAAACCCAAATCAACATGTATTCCTACGACAAAGACTCACATTATTAATGTTTTGTGATAGCTACTTTGTAGGTCGTAAGAGTGATTTCCTCTATGAATCATGTGAGATAGGACACATTTTTAAAAAGTGTCATTTTCCCTCTTGAGTTCATACAGGATAGTAGCAAATTCTATTAGGACTGTAAGCTAACTTTTCTGAGCAAGCTAAAGGGCCAGGAGAGGTGGAGACTGGAACTTTTCCTTGCTTCTCCTTGCCCACACCTCTCTGTGTGGCTCTAACCTGGAGGGTGCGAGAAAATTCGGCTGTCCTGCCTCTTCGTTGTGTGGATATAATTTCCAACCTATGGACTAGAAATGAAACTCATTATTATTTAATGAATATGGGCACTTCTCTTTGTCCTCATTTGGTAACACCTTGTTTTGTTACTTTTTTACTGGGTTATTAAAATTAGGGGCATAAATCAGAATTGACACAGTTTTGCATATTTAATTTGACTTTACACCACCTTGCTTTGAGTTTCTGAATTCACAGTCTCGGCCCAGTTTTAAAAGATTGAGGAAGCTTATATTGCAGAATCCCATTTGATATTCATCCCCAAATACTTGTTTCTTAGTGCATATTTTAGGAAAATTTACATTTTATGAAAAATAGATTTTAAAATTTCATGTTTTGCTTATTACATGAGGGTCTTCTGTTTCTGTAATTCCAAAAGTCTCTCACTTAAAACCAATCTTGATATTTAAAACACACCTCAAAACATATTTGCAGGTGGGAAAGTTTGCTATTTATGTAAATGTGAATTCTGTCAAGTTACAAGTTTGCCGCTAATAATATACAGTGGAAAGAAAGCTCTTTATGTTCATGTCACTGAAAAGTAGGTGGCTTTTTCAGAAAGCAATTACCTTCTATTTTTTTCCTACTTCTGAATTAGTAATGTGCAAAACAATTCAGAATGATTAGGAGCTGAGTCTTGCGACTCTAAAAATTCCACCAATAACTGACACAATCGGGCTGTCTTTTTATTTTATTTTTTAAAGGTTTTTCCATATATAAAATCATCTCTTGCTTTGTACGTTCTGACCTTGTGTTTATAGGAGCCTGTTCTTTGACGGCCCGTGGAACACTATCTTCGCCTCGTGTTGCATGTTATATTTGGTTGGAAAACCTAGATGCCCGGGGCTCCAATGTCACTTTCAACTACAGACCATGTTTGTCAGGCCGCTGTGACCGGAGCCCTGGGACAGTACGCGGAGGGGCTGAGATGCCAGGGAATCTTGTTTTGAAGTGTTACACACAAACCCGTGTCGTAACCAGTGGAAGGGAACGTATTTCTCCTGGGAGTGCCTGTAGCAAGGAGGCAGATTCTCAGATTAAGCATGTTCAGCTATGAAAAGAAATAGTAAGATTTCAAATAGTAATATTGCGTGGAAGTTCAGTAAATCAGGAAGGGATGACCTTATAAATATGCATGCGATTCAGGCTCTTCTGTTCGCATTAATGACTCTACCTATTATGTTTAAGTGTTAACTGGGGTGTATTTGAGTTTGAATATAGTACTGGAATCCGGTGCTTGCTAGCTTGGAGACTTGGCAGCTTTCCAGAATGAGGAAGCAGCCGTAATATATATCATTTTTGTAGTAATTGAATTGAGATTATTGAAATGATGAGAGATGTGATTAGAGCTTTTTATTAAAGGAACACTGCATTTGTTTTCATTTAAAACATTAAGGTTCCCGAGGCTGAAGCCTTTTAGTTTAGTTTTTTTCCCATTTCCTTGAGTGCGGGATTTTAACATTAACGCAACCTCCCTAAAGCTGCCTGCATCTAAACATATGCAGGCTTTCTGGTGCTCAGTGCCCTAGCATTTACCAGGCCATTTCATTTTAGAAATTTGATTCACGTTAATAGATTACCTTTTGATTTTACCGTAGCTGTATTAGGTTTAGAAAGCATGGCCAGATTTGGACAGTAAGGACAGTGAGTGTGGTCACTTGGTCAAACTGTAGTCACACGCATGAGGCTGCTTGTGGATAACTGAGTCTTGAAGCCATCAGCGCCCCCGTCCCACCTTCTGTAGCCTTTTGGCAGATGCACCTTGAACAGATCAACGTCGGGTGGTTGAGTGGGTACAGACAGACGCCACGCAGCGTCTCCAGGTACATCTCGAGAACCCGGATGCCATGGGCCCTGGTGGAGTGTAGATGGCTCTAGCCTCCATGTCCTCCTCCCTGTAATGTCAGCCTGCTTATGGAATAAGCATCTAGAACTGTGTAGTATGGCTGGGCCACTCAAGACCACCTGAAGCAACCCGGAAGACATCCAGATCCTCCAGGGAAGACTGAGTTCTGACGGTTGGGGCCGCATTGTTTCAGGTTCTAGAATTCTCCCCGCTTCATTAATTCCGTTCTGGCGGAACTCAGGAATTGCCAATTCAGATGCCTACGGGGCTGGTCCGGAGGCATAAACAAGTTTTTTGGGGCCAGACAGAACCTGCCTCTGGGCCACGGGGTCTTCAATCCCTGGCTGAAATGGACAGCAAGCGAGCTGGTTTGGATTCACCATCCAGCTTATGGCAATAAAAAAGTCACAGACGTTTGACTTTTTCTCTTTTTTAAAAAATTACATGTGTTCTGATTGGTACTTCTAAGATAAAACAGAGGGCGATCATTAAAAGGATCAAAGATAAGCTACGAGGGGCCCAGAGCACAAAATCCATTCCGTTCTGCAACTTTCTAACCATGTGACCTCGGTTGAGTCACTTAGCCTTTCTGTGTCTCATTTGGGAGAGATGGGGATAACAATACCGAGTATATAACACGTAAGTGTTGGGGGTTTCTATGATTAATACGTATAAAAAGCTGGAACGGTGGTTAAGGATAGTATGCGTTCAGTAAATGTCAGCTATTATTAATCTTGGCTGGCTTTTATTTTGCATTTGTCCTTTGCTAGTATTTTAAGATGTCATTTCACCAGAAGCTCGGAAATTTCATGTACTCGTCTTATTTATTTCCTCCTGTCCTGCAGTTTTTTTTTTTTAAAGATTTTTAAAAATTTATTTGACAGAGAGAGACACAGAGAAAGAGGGAACACAAGCAGGGGGAGTGGGAGAGGGAGAAGCAGGCTTCCCGCGGAGCAGGGAGCCCGATGCGGGGCTCGATCCCAGGACCCTGGGACCATGACCTGAGCCGAAGGCAGACGCTTAACCATCTGAGCCACCCAGGCGCCCCATACCTCTTTTTTTTTAAGTTTTTTTTTCTTTGGTAAGATTTTATCTATTTGACAGAGAGAGACACAGCGAGAGAGGGAACACAAGCAGGGGGAGTGGGAGAGGGAGAAGCAGGCTTCCCGCGGAGCAGGGAGCCCGATGTGGGGCTTGATCCCAGGACCTTGGGACCATGACCTGAGCCGAAGGCAGGCGCTTAACGACTGAGCCCCCCAGTCGCCCCTTCCTGTCCTCCACTTTAAAAGAGCTGGCACCTGCCACTTCAGGTGTCCTTCCACCCCTTCCCTTAGGAGAGCGGTGGCCAGTGTTCAGCACTGAAACCCAAGCTTTCCGTGTGTATCCAGAACCTTCGGGTCCCATTCATCAAAAACTGGCTCTGTTTTTGAACCAGAGTTTCAAAACGAGACGCTCTGGATGTGTGCAGCGGGCACCTCCCTGGTGATTCTCCATGAAACGGGTCATGGTGGGCGGAGGCTGCTTCCACCAGCTCATGTCACTGCTTGCTGCCCCTTGTTCCCTCCTCAGCCCCTGCAGTCCTTGTCCCTGGCCGACTCAAAACTCAAGACCGAGGTCACCATCCTCATCAATGCCCTGGGAAGCAACACCTCTCTGACCAAAGTGGACATCAGTGGGAACGGGATGGGGGACATGGGAGCGAAGATGCTGGCCAAAGCCCTGCAGATCAACACCAAGCTCAGGTATGCGGGTCAGGCGCTCGGCCCTGAGACGAGGATGCTCGCCCTAAGGAGGGCCCTAGAAAGCTCTGGGAGAGATTCAGGCCCCCCAGCATTGGAGAGCCGGTGACTGTTTCAAGTCTTTTGTCAAAATCCTGGGGATGGCAGGGGGCGTCCCAAAGTTAGACATTGTGATTCCCGTGAGCTGTTGTCTTACAGATTTTCACTGTGGCATGAAACCCAACTGAGAACTGGGCAGTGTCCTGTTTCACGGTGTTGGCAGCTGTGAGGGGAGGGGCAGTGAGCAGGGCCAGGAAGACGGAAGGTCCCACACGAGGGCCTTCCCTGTCCTTGGCTGTGAGCCCGTCACCTCCCCTCCCCCACTGCTGCCAATATAAAGACTTAAAACCCCAGGGACGCAGGAGGTGCCTTGGTTAAAGGCAAGTTCATGCTGGGTGCTAACTATTCTGTGTAGTGGTTTTCAGCCACTTGTAGTGTTTCCCAAGTGGCTTTTCTTAAGGACTGGCTACTTGGTAACCACTGTTATTAAGGACCACATTACCATCCATCCTTCAGAGAGATCCAGTTGCTCCCGCGTCCAGCAGTCTGGTGAATGAATATTTAATTCACATTGCTCTTCAAGGGGCTCTTTCTTGATGTTTCTGGATACTTCCCTTGCCCTCCTGAACTTTCTGTCTACACTGAAGCCAAAAACTGCAATAATTTCTCTGAAGGTCAGAGTGTATGTAAAGAAAGTCCTTGAGATCAGGAAGGGAAAGCATTTAGAGGTGTGATTCTTGGATCAGACAAATAAAAGCTGCTTCATGTGGCAGGTGAATTGACAGACACCAAAATACCTCTGAAGTGTTCACATTCTGAAAGTGAAGTAGTACTTTTCTTCCAAAATAGATTGTGTTTATAAAGTAAACAACGTCTATTTATGGAAACCAAGGGTTTACCAGCAGAGTGAGAACTTTATGGGATGGCTGATCATACCATGTCAGGGCAATGATGAAAACAGAAGACAGACTCCTTTTAGTTACTTAGGATGGACCAAAAAGTCTCAGGACCTGAACTTCTTTGTGCTGGACAAGGGATTCTTTAGCATCTTTTATAAACAGCTCTAGCTTCAGACATGACTACTAGAATACTATTTGGAGAATATGTTGAGAGAATATCAGAGAAATCAGGTTTCAGAGTTTTCTGGCTGCAAAGCATCAGGTAACATCATGGCACGTTAATGAGTATGCTGTGGCTTTTATTGTGATTTTTTTGTACTATGTGAGCAGTAAATGGGTTAAGAATGTAGTGTTGGAGGAAATGCTCATCCTTGCTGTGTCTAAAACTAAGTTGATGTTATTCCTTGCCTGTCGTGCTAAAATACCTAGGTGATGTTTTCTACAAGAGATTCATCTTCAGTAGGAGAATCATTTTCTCCATCCCCAAATGTCTGATCATTTATGTGACTTGGTTTTCCGACAGGACTGTCATATGGGACAAGAACAACATTACCGCACAAGGCTTTCAGGATATAGCTGTTGCTATGGAAAAGTAAGTTTTAATTGGGACTTCTTTCTGGAAAAATACAAAGGAACCAGTGGTGTCTGTTTTACCTGTGGTATGATGGAGGTAGCAGTGAATTTGGATCCAGAAGATCTGGGTCTGAGCTAGCCAGTGCTACCCAGCCATGGCACCCGGGAAGACATGGACGTTGTTCTGGCGTGAGTTTCTTAGTCTGTCCACGAGGGCAGAGATGCACCATCATCGTGAGGATAAAATGAGATCATGGTGGAGGGGCCACACCACACCATGGTCACCTGGCTTTTCCTTATGGTTTCACATTCTCTTCCCATCAGGTCTTGCCTTTTTTGCCCATTATGACAACTCTGAATACAGTGAAGAGAAGAAAGCTGAGCTCCAGACAATAAACCTGAAATCGATGGACGGCAGGCTAACTTACTGCTGTCAGAGGCTTTCTTTATTACCATAGTAACTAAAGCCTGCAATTATTGTTTATTGTCAAATTTACTTCCCTGGTAAACAAAACGAGGCAATAATATGAAGATGGCTGGAAGAAATTCTAGAAATCCTGGTTCTTTTTGAGCTCTTTAGTCCTCATATTGTATTCTGAAGGCAGAAATGATCAAAGCAGGTTTACAGCATTAGAAATGAGAGGTTACAAAATGTGGGTGGGAAATAAGGGGCTAGTAGCATAGAAGCTGGGCCCCTGGGGAAGGGATCGGGGAATGCTCATTATTGGTGTTTTTTCCCAGATTTCCCTTCATGCGTGAGGCCTCCTAGGTGGAGCTCTCCTTCCCAGCATGGTTTCATGGATAAAACCCTAGGCCTGGAAAAAAGAGCCTTCCATTCAGTCCCCGGCTCTGTCACCAGCAAGCCTGTCCTCTTGAGCAAAGCATCACACCTTTCTGATTAATTCTTCTTTTACAGAGTGAGATCCCTAAGTGGCTTCCAGTTCTAAATCCCAGGGTTCTGACTTAGTCAGGAGCCTATGATTGCAGCCCCCACAGACCGTCACTAAATATGGACAAGGCAACTTGCTCCACCTCTCCCTGGAGCCTTCCACCTATAATTACTCCCATTGCACCAGGAAACCCTGGAATGGAAACATTTGTTTACAAATAGCTACATTTAGGTGCGAACAGCACAGTTGCCTCTGCTGTAGACTGCTAGCAGCCCATACTGGTCTTTGTGGGAAGCCCAAGAGCCTGCACACCCGGTACTCAACATTTCCACATTGATGGTAGGGCTCCCCGGCTTACAGTCTGTTCTGTACGCCGTGCTCCATGATGCCAGTGGCCCAAAGTCACATTTGGTTCAAATAAAGTATGCTGGTCTGCAGCATGATCATCGCTGGACGAGGCCAAGGAAAATCCTCACGGCTGCAAAATAGATGCATTGTCTCTTCATTTCAGTTGGCTGGCCCCTCTGAAACCAAACCAAACAATTCTGCTAAAACAAAGCCAAGGTAAAAGATTGAAGTCATGGAAATAACAGCCTTTGTCTTTGCACATTATTTTGCATTAAACCACCCTTAAGTTGGACCGAAAGACATTTTTTTTCCCCCCTTAGATAACAACCGTACAGATGACTGCTATTATTAAGATGGTTACTTCTTTTTGTATTCATCCTGCATGATTAGTACCTTATTTGGGAATGAGTTGTTAATTTACTCTTCCACAAGAATCACACCGTGAGTGTTGCTTAGTGTTTACAAGGCGACCGACTGTGGGATCCCAGTGCGCTAGGGGACCCCACTTGTCACCACGTGTCTCAAAAGGTCAATCTTCCTGAGTGCCATGCAGTAGCAAAGGGCAGATGGGTTTGGGTTAGGAGAGAGGAGGTGTCTCCAGGGTGAGTGTGTGGTCTGGGAGCAGGAGCCAGGGGTGGGGTCCGAGGCCAGGGCGCACTTTCAGAGTTCCGAGCTGTTTGCCTCATGCAAAGATGACTCCCCCCTGCCCTTCTGCGTCTCACCAGCTGGTTGGCAGCAGGGAGGTAATACGGGGACACAGTTTTCCACCAGTTGCTTCACTGGGAGCCGAGGGCAGTGTGGACGTGGGCTGTGTGTGAGAGCGGGCCCCCAGGACCTGCAGAGGTCAAGGTGCTGAGCCAGGCGGGAAGCCCGTGGGAAGCAGCTTTTCTCAAGACAGTGGCTACTCTGGGGCCTCCTTGTTGAAAGGGGCGCAGAGCCTGAACAGACTGTTTTTGTGGATGCCCCCGTCCTTCCCTTGCAAGCAGATGTTTTGGTTTCATTTTCTGGGTTTGGGCCTGGCTGTCACACGTAGTCACTGTGGGGCTCCTTTGGTGACTAAAACCCAAGGAGCAGCTGGATGCTGGACTTCCCTCCTCGCCTTTCTCTCGGGTCAGCTTTCCGGCCCAGCTTGAAAATCTGGGTTTGAAAACAACAAAATCAGATGCCCTCCAGCCGTGTTGCCATTAGAAGCCAGCATGGGCAGCTGCAGGTGCCCGGGCGGACCTGTAACCTAGGGCTCGAAGATAGGCTGTGAGTTTCGAATCTTCTAAGACACACTGGCAGCTGTCTCTGGATTTTAAAAAAGAGTGCTGAATAGAGGTAGTAGGATGTTATTTTCAAATAAACATTACCTTCTCCTTTTTCTAGGAACTATACATTGAGATTTATGCCGATCCCTATGTATGATGCTTCTCAAGCCCTAAAAACAAACCCTGAAAAAACAGAAGAGGCTCTGCAAAAGGTATCGGAGAATCAATAGCTGCATCATAAATTCACGTTTGAATCGAGTTTTGTTAGCAGTAATTCTGAACATACGAACAGTACTTTGTATTTTCCAAAGCTTTCTTTGACGTGAGTTTGTATTCTTGTGATCACAGTTGGCATAACGTATGGCTGGGGGGGGGGGGAATAACATAAGAAAGACGAAAGCTGGGGCGCCTGGGTGACTCAGTCGGTTAAGCGTCTGCCTTTGGCTCAGGTCATGATCTCAGGTCCGGATCGAGTCCTGCATCGGGCTCCCTGCTCAGCGGGGAGCCTGCTTCTCCCTCTGCCCCTCCCCCCTGCTTATGCATTCTCTGTCTGTCAAATAAATAAGTAATGTTTTTTTAAAAAAGAAGACGAAAATTTGTCATGAAGTTTAAGTGGAATAACATTCTTACACCGTCAGTGTTCTAGTACTTACCCACAGATAGCCTCTTGTTCATCCTTCAGAGACTGTGTGGAACTGAATGTCAGCTGGCGCACAGCCTTTAACCTCAGCAGCTAGAACCTTCCTTTCTTCTCTTTTTTTTTTTTTTTAAGATTTATTTATTTGAGAGAGAGAGAGCACAGGAGGGAGGTCAGAGGGAGAGGGAGAGAGAGAATTTCAAGCAGACTCCCTGCTGAGTGTGTTGAGCATGGAGCCCTGCACAGGCTCGATCTCTGGACTCTGAGAACATGACCTGAGTCAAAATTGAGTTGGACTCTTAACCGACTGAACCACCCAGGCGCCCCCCTTCCCTTCTTTCCTGTCAAGAAATTTGGGATATGGATGAGATCTCCTTGTACCATCTTTGTTCAGAGATGTGTCTAATTCCACACCCATTCCCGCCTCCTTTCTGACAACCCCAGAGGACGACGGGGATCTCCCCCTTCGAAGTCGAGCCATCCATGGTGCCCGTGACCCCACCGTCTCTGTCTGGGCTGGAAACTTGCCCTGAGAGGCATTCTCTTGCTCTGCCACATCTCCATCCTTCTCTTCCTATGGTTATGGTTACCTTTTTTGATTTTTAGGTATGCTCGAGGATTTCCCATCTGAAGAAACCTACTCCACCTTTACTATGGGGGTGGGGCATCTTTGAAATCTTCCCTCCCTCTTTGTTCGCCCATCTGGTGGTAGCATCCAGCTTCCCACGCTTCACGTTTCTTCCCCACGTCTTCCATAGCCATGCCATCATCAGGTTTACAGAATCTACAGCATAAACCTCTTCCTTTAGCTCTCTTCCTATCACAGATGCCTTTGTTCAAGCCTCATCACTTTTCAGCAGGATTTGTGTTGTTTTCTTGGTTGCAGTCAAAAAGAGCCATCTTTTTTCACAGCAAATTTGAGCAGACTAACCTCTTCAGCCCACCTCTCCCCATTCCATCCCTGCCCCTCAGTGGCTTTTAGAGTAGAACCTCCTCTCCTTGAACCGGCATAAAATTGTGCCCAGGATCCGCCTCCTATCCACTGCCACCTTCATCTCTTGCCAACCCTGCCTCTTTGCTCTGCTCTACTTCAGGGAACTTGTTAGAGATGCGAATTCTTGGGTCTCAGAAATGGGGGTGGGACTCAGCAATCTGTTTTTACAAGCTCTTCTGGTGGCTGCAAATTTGGGAATCACTGCTCTGATCCAGAGGATACTCATGCTTTCCCCACTACCTACCATGTGTGTCTGTCGAGGTTGAAGGCAAGTGTCAGCTCATCTGGAAACTTCTCAGAGCCTCTTTCCTCCTCTGTGTAGGGGGTCTTCTCAGAATTTCCTGTGCTTGTCTCTGTCACTGGCCTTGTGACATCCTTTACGTTACCTGACTCCATATATTTTTTTCTCTCAGTGACTATGAACTCCTTGAAGGCAGAGCCTATGTATTTTTCATCTTTTTAGATGTTCAGCAGCTAGTACAGTGCCTGCCATACATGCTTGGATACTCCTTAGACTTTGTTGAATAAAAGGGAATAAGGTAAGGTGGGGGGAGGGAAAGCTGTGATGTGGCAACAGAAATCATCCAAGATTTGTATTCAGAAGATCTGACTAGGGGCGCCTGGGTGGCTCAGTCGGTTAAGCATCTTCCTTCAGCTCAGGTCATGATCCTGGGGTTCTGAGATTGAGCCCTGCATCGGGCTCCCTGCTCAGCGGGGAGCCTGCTTTTCCCTCTCCCTCTGCTGCTCCCCCTGCTTGTCCTCTATCTCTATGTCAGTAAATTTAAAAATCTTAAAAAAAAAAAAAAAAAAGATCTGACTAAATCAAACTCTTTTCAGCTTTGTAATTTACATAAGTTACCTAATTTTTCTGAACTTTGGTTTCTTCATCTATATAAAACCTACAGCTAGACAGGAGCTATGTTTAGCTGACATTTAACATACGGTTCATGCTGGGTGCCTGACACTATTATAAATGCTTTACATAAATTAACACTGATAATCTATAAAATAAATCCATGAGATAGGTTTGTTATAGCCCCATTTTGCACATAAGAAAACCGAAGCACAGGACGGCCAAGTAATTCGCCTGTGGTGCCAGGGACCAAACCAGGTAGTATATGTGAAAAAAAGTTTGTAAACCACAAAGCAACATAAAAATCTTAGACCTCTTTATAGTTTCCCAAAGGATATTAGCAACTTGTAACAAAAGACATATCCTAGAGACACCAGGTTTCTGGGTTTAGATTTGACAGGTCAAGAGTTTGGCATTCATCACTCCCATCTTCACAACAAGAAAAAAGCTGAACAGACAGAAAATTGGTGACTCTTCTCAGATCCATCAGAGAATTGAGGCAAAAGCAAAGTAGACTGCCACCCTGGAAACTGGACATGTGGGAATTTAGAGAATCACAGTGAATCAAAGCCAAGATTGGCTTACCAGGGGCAGAAGCTAATGGGGGTCAGTAACTCAGAGGAGTGCTTAACCAGCAATTGAGGAGTTGCTGGAGGCTTAGTGTGGACTAGATGAAGAGTTAAAAACTCCTAGGGGCACCTGGGTGCCTCAGTCAGTTAAGCATCTGCCTTCGGCTCAGGTCATGATCCCGGAGTCCCGGGATTGAGCCCCAAGTTGGGCTCCCTGCTCGGCGGGGAGCCTGCTTCTCGCTCTGCCTCTCACCCCACTCGTGCTTGCATGCTCTCTCTCTCAAAAATATAAATAAAATCTTAAAAAAAAAAAAAGTTAAAAACTTCTAGGGGCCCAGTCTTAGCGAGGTCCTGATCCCTTCATGGTCTTTACCTCCTAGAACCCCACCAGGTCATCACAGGAAAGACTGGAGAAAAATCCTCTCATGTTTCTGGTAGGGGGAAGGGAACAAGTAGCCATTTTGAAATCTACCTAGAACATTCCGTTGTTTATAACAGAGACGTACACTCAAGAGAAACTACTCTACCAGAGCCTTATCTGATCTAGCAAAAGACAGTTAGACAATCCCAGCCTTCCTGTTTCACAGAAGGGAAGAAAAAAAAAAAAGCCAAGAAATACTTCGGCAGGTCACAGCCCAGGGACTCAGGCCTACTAAATAAAACCTAGATTTAATCATAAGATTATAGAATTATTCCCTTCCCTAACACCTAACCACCACATCAAGTGTAGTAACAGTGGATTACAAATGAGCAAAGCTGTAAGACACTATTTAAGAAGGGATTTCTAGGGAAATCCCAAAGCAACCAGGGAGATAAAAACAAGGACATGGGAAGAAATTAAAGTCTTTTTAATTTCAAAGTGTCCAGCATAACTCAGCTTCTAGCCAGATTAACATAAAATTGCACATTAAAAGCCTGATTACCTCAGTTCCTATTACCAGATACATCATACCCAGTCAACAACAACAAAAATAAATTAAAAAAAAATTTTAAGACATGCTAAAAGGCAAGAAAAAAAAAAAACAACGCATTATGAAGAGACAAAGCAAACATCAGAACCAGACTCAGATATGACACAGATTTTGGAATTATCAGACAGAATTTAAAATAACTGATTAGTATATTAAGGGCTGTTACGGAAAAAGTAAAACACATGCAAAAACAGATGGGTAATGTAAGCAGAGAGAAACTCTAAGAAAAAAATCAAAAGGAAAATCTAGAGGTCAGAAACACTAACAGAAGTGAAAAATGCCTTTTATGATCTTGTCAGTGGACTGGACACAGCTAAGGAAAGAATCATTGAGCCTGAAGATAGGTCAATGGAGACTTCCCACTGAAAAACAAAGAGAAAAAAAGGAATGGAGGGCAAAACCAGAACAGAATATCCCCAAACTGTGGGACAGTTACAACAGATAGAGCATCCATACAGTGGGAATGCCAGAGGGAGAAGAAAGACAAGGGAACAGAAGAAATAGTTGAAATAATAATGACTGAGAATTTTCCAAATTTAATGATAGACACCAAACCACAGATTTAGGAATCGCAGAGAACACCAAGTAGGATAAATACCCCAAAAACTCTACATGGAGGCATTTCATATTTAAACTGCAGAAAACCAAAGACAAAGAAAAATTCTTCAAAGAAGCTAGGGGCGGGGGGACCACTTTACATATTGAGAAATAAGGATAAGAATTATAGCCGACTTTGGGTCAGAAATCATACAAGCAAGAAGAACGTGGAGTGAAATATTTAAACTGTCAAAAGAAAAAGATCTAGCAGCCTAGAATTCTGTATCTAGCAAAATTTTTCTTCAAAATTAAAGGAGAGGGTACCCGGGTGGTGCAGTCAATTGAGTGTCTGACTCTTGATTTCGGCGCAGGTCGCGATCTCAGGGTCGTGAGATCGAGCCCCGCGTTGGGCTCCGTGCTCAGCACAGAGTCTGATGGAGACTCTCTCTCCTTTCCCTCTGCCTCTCCCTTCCCCCGCCCCCCACTCTCTCTCTCAAATAAATAAATAAATCTTAAAAAGTAAAGGAGAAATCAAAACATGCAAAGATAGTGTTAGGAGGAGAGGGAGAAGTTGATGATACTGTATTATAAGGAACCTGCACTATTTGCAGATTGGTACAGTGTTCTGTGACAGTAGACTTGAAATCGTTGCGTATTGCAAATGCTAGGGCAACCACTAAAATAATTTTAGAAGAAGTGTAGTTAATATGCTAAGGAAGGAGAGAAAAGTGTAATCATATACGGTCCTTAAAACCAGAGAAAGCAGAAAAAGAGGGGAAAATAAAAGAAGAAACCGAAGAAATGCCTCGTCTCCAAATACGTTAATTGTAAAATTTATGTTTTCTTAAATGAAAATTTGGTGACTTTACAAGTGGTAATTATCAGGGTTTTTTTTCTATAATACTTACTATACTGTTATATATTTAAGGTTTCATTTTAACAGAACTCTATTCCCCAGAAGAAATATACTCTTTAATTTTACTCTACTAAAGAACAACATTGTGATCCTGTAATCAATCTTTAGAAGTTTTGTTTTGTTTTAAATAGAAGATTCCTAGGCTGAAATGCCTCGTATGCTGCTGCTGTTTTCAGCAGTGACACTGAAGGTGTTGATAGGCTCTGGGTGGCCGTCAGGTCACTGCTGCCCACGGGGCCTGGTAATAACAATTTGGGCCCTTTCCCTCCCATTTGGCCTCAGTTGGGCCGCCCATCCTCAGCCTGTGGGAGGCGGGGTCTCTGTCCCTGTTCTGGAATGGTGCAGGGAAGGAAGGTTTATCCTGCTAATTCAAGATGCAAATACTCTCATTGTTATTCTACCTTCCCCTTGCACTGGCTTTTAGAAATGAGCTTTGAATTTTTTTTTTTTTTTTGAGATTTTATTTATTTGACAGAGAGAGACAGGGAGAGAGGGAACACAAGCAGGGGGAGTGGGAGAGGGAGAAGCAGGCTTCCCGCGGAGCAGGGAGCCCTATGCGGGGCTTGATCCCAGGACGCTGGGATCATGACCTGAGCCAAAGGCAGATGCTTAATCACTGAGCTACCCAGGCGCCCCTGAATTTTTTTTTTTTCTTAAAAATCTCCCTCCAGGCTTAGTCTATACAACATCATTGGTGCCCCTGGGGAAGGTCTGCAAATGCATGGGCCAGCCTTGGGTGCACAGCCCATACGTGAGCTGAGCCTCTCGTACAAGCTGCTCTCACAACTGGCCCCCAAACAGTGCTTAAGGAGACCAAATGTAAAAGGATAAATAACAAAGCAAAAGTACCCAAAGCTGGGTGGCAGTGTGTGCCTGTTATATTTCAGGCAAGAATCTTTTTTTTGTTTTTGTTTTTGGCAAAAACATTTTCCATCGATGGTAATGTCACCTTGGAAAGAGATGACTTTTTGGGAAACAGCAAGAGAAAATTAATGTAATAAAATGTCGTATTCTTAATGTGTCACTTTAACAATGTTTCATTTCAGGGATCTCTTCATTTTTATAATTCCTTCATTAATGTTTAGTAGAAAGGTACATTTTGTTCTGCTTTATGGTTTCCAGGGATGATAGTAATTATAGTCTGTATTTTAATTGTCTCTAATTGGTATTAAGTAGCAGTAATTTTAGCGTATGGAAAATTAAAATGAAAATGTAATAATACTGAGAGCCTCACAGTTATAAGAAGTTCTTAACCAGGGAACTACAGTGACAAATTAAAAGCCAAATGGTTAGGGGGTATTATTAAAAACAAATGAAAACAACAACTGGAAAAAAAAACCCAGATGGTGCAATTACTGATCTCAAATCATTCTTTGCAGACATCTTCATACATGTCCATCAGTCCCAGTAGTTAACCCTGCAGTTCTTGTTCAACGTATACCCCTTGCATATTCTTCCTAAACACTTCATTTTAATCTAGTCATCATTTGTACGTTTGAACTTTTAATAGGAGATTGTGTATAAAAATACAGATTCTCAAGCAACTTCAAATGTTCTTATTTTCTATGGAAATCTGTTTTCTTATTTTCTCTACTTTTGCAAAATCAGTCCTGTTTTTGAGATAATATGAAAACCTCATGAATTAATGAAACTAGTATATGTCTTTGAGTTGTACCAGCCTGTGGCCTTCAGATTTTGTACATATTTTCTCCTTTTTTCCCTTCAAGTAGATAGTTTTCTCAGTGCCAATGGATTCTGCCTCCTAAAGGCTGAGAGTTTCAGAGGGTGCCATCCATACACCTTGGGGATATTTATTTAGCTTTGCAACTGTTGAGTGGTTAAAGACTCATGAGGGAGAGATTGTGATTGTGTGCAAGAAAGCAGGGAGTCGCTGCATGGGATCTCCAGCCGCGTGGGCACTTAAACCCTTGCTTATCTTTGTCAGCTACCGAGTCACATAAAATTACTCCCATGATCTGCAGGTTACATCTCTAACACACCAAGAGTGCATCACAGTGACGGCCCACTTCCCGACTCCTGTGTTGTATGGAGTCAAGGCGCAGGCGGGAGTGTGAATCAGAGCTTGGGTTTCAAGTTCAGCACCTGGCTCTTTCCCTTATCACTTCACCCTCCGCTGAGTCAAATGTGCTCTTGAGAGATCCGTGTGCTTGCTTTTCAGATCGAAAACTATCTGCTCCGGAATCACGAGACCCGAAAGTACCTGCAAGAGCAGGCCTACCGCCTACAGCAGGGCATTGTTACCAGCACCACGCAGCAGGTAAGAGGGCGCCGCTCTCCCTGGCTCACCCACAGCGGCCGCTTCTCAGAGCAGGGGACACAGCATCTGTCACCTGAATCATCCCCGGTGGAACAGCACAAACTGGTTTCTGAAGATGACGACATGGGAAGTAGAGTGCGGGGGCGGCGGAGATGTAGGGTGAGGAAAATGTAGGCTGATTCTAATGCTAAAAATGCGCTTTTTTTTTAAGATTTTATTTATTTATTTGACAGAGAGAGACACAGCGAGAGAGGGAACACAAGCAGGGGGAGTGGGAGAGGGAGA